CACATGATTGCGTTTCCTTCCCTATTTTATTACCTCCATGGTCAAAAACAGACTCATTGACAGATCGCTCTGTACTGTTATATTTAATCTTATTATGCATTCCAAACAAAATGGTTGATAAAGTGCATGATGAATTTGATATATTATAGTTATATAGATTGATTTTCCATATCTTTTTCAAAATAAACACAAGCTCATGCCTTGAATGTAATATTGTAGTTAATTATATTTTTACTATACTATAAAAAAATGAAATTTACTTTAAAAACACATTTTTTAATGAGCACTTGCGAGAACATTTGGTCACTCGCAATGCAACATGTTTTGAGCAATCTATATACCTCTATACAGGGTGGCCACTTTTTTAATGGGATTGTATTAGTAATTTCCAAACCATACTAGTTAGAAAGTCGGTTAAATGGAGAAAAAGATGCCTATCTCGAAGCATAATCTAGCTGTGGAAATTCGATCTTTTCGGTTATCGTTCATTTATTTTCAGAACTACCAAAGAACTAAAGGTTTTTTATTTGATAGTAAATCTTCTTTGATTTGACGTTTTCATATTTTGCATCCAACGTTTCGTATTCTCCGAATCACCCTCAACTTATTTTTTTTTAAATATGGACCTGGATATTTTATAACATTTGAAATTACTTTTCATCCTACATAGAGCGGTGTATTACACAATGGCATTCAATGACGGTTTTTGGGTAATATGGACCATAATTTAAATTTTATTAAATTTACGCTTGGTTTCAGCCATCTTTAGTTGAATCAACATAATATGTCACCTCTCGATAAAAAAATAAAGTCAATTCTTACAAAATTTATATAATTCTCCGAAAATTAAAAAATAGTAATGTAGAAATTTTAAAACGCAATTACTGATAACAAAAAGAAATTCAGTTTTTGTCATAATCAAATTATTTGAAAATATCAACAAAATTAATTGAGCAATTGTTTAAAATGTCTTCTTCAATACACTTGGCGATTCTGATATTCATATTTCTTATGCTATTGCTTATTTCTTCTTCTTGAATATCTTTTAGTGCATCTCCAATCTTTTCGCGGAGAATCTCAATTGTTGCATTCGGTGAATTTATTTTTGAGACGTCCCCACAAATAAAAATCTAATGGATTCAGATCTGGAGATCTGGCAGGCCACGCCACTGGACCTCTTCTAATCCATGAATTGGGAAAAATCTGATTCAAATAATCCGTGACCATTCTTGAATTGTATGTACCACATCCATCTTGTTGGAACCAGATTTCGTTAAGACGATACTCTATAGGAAGATCATCTAACATGTCCTGCAGTATATCTAAATATTTTTCGGCAGTAAGGTTTCCGTCAATAAAGTATGGTACCAGTACTTTATTATTTAACAAACCGCACCGTATATTCAAAGAGAAACGATATTGATGTCTCACTTCTTGGATTAGGTTATTTTCCGTGGCATAAAAATGTTTATTTCTTCGATTAAACATACTAGAATTTGTAAATGTTGTTTCGTCTCCCCAAATGATATTGTGTGCAAAGTTGTTATTAATTCTTATTGTCTGCTTAAACCAATTACAAAATCGCAATCTTCTTTCAGGATCATTACGATATAGTTTTTGTACCGCTTGGTATTTGTAATCCGGGTCTCTTGACTATCTTATTAACAACACTTTTTGATAAATTAGTTTCACCTGCAATAGTCCTCGACCCAACTCCTGGATTTATTTGAATTTAAGCTAAGACATTAATATCGTTGACTGGCTCCTTTCTTCGAACATACGGAACTCTAGGTAATGTATTATATTCCAGAAGAGTTGTAGACAAACGCAGAAAAATGTTTATATTTGGTTGCATTCTGTCGGTATATAAGTCCTCGTACCTTTGTTTTGCTCTAAACGATTATCTGTCCAGTTTAATGTACATATCTCGTTTTTTTTGAACAATGAGAAATTTTCGTAACGTAATAAAGAACAACATAATAATAATAACAATAATAATAATAATAATAATAATAATAATAATAATAATAATAATAATAATAATAATAATAATAATAATAATAATAATAATAATGTGACAATTCTTGTAATATGGATTGTTTTCTCGGCTCTATAACAAATAAGATGATAGTAGTTTAAAATCATATCAATTGGTGTGCCAGTAATAAAATAATCAACGATGATAATTAGATGGAAAAATAATTGAAAGAAATAATTACATCTCGAAGTTAATTCAAAGCAGTAACATAAAAAACTGATATTTTGCCTTCAAAGTTGGTACGTATGTTTTGTCAAAAATGGAATTGGGAATATTTCTTAATTATTTATCTTATCAGAACATATTTTTTAATAGTCGAATAATTGAATAATTATTGATTCTCATTTATGTTTTCCTAATTAATCACTTTATGTTCGAAGTATTATACACTTTACACAAATTAATTTTCCAGTATTGCAGAATTAATTATATGTTTCTTGCCAGACACCGAACATGAGGTCACAGACTTTTTGGACAAAAGTCTTAAACCCCGTGATTCCTTTTTTGTTGAGCCAAGTGTATCTTTTGAAGTTGAAGAAGCCATCAAAACATTGAAAAGCTCTTCATGTTATATCTACGGTTTAAATTCCAAAATTATCAAAGAAACGTATAGTTCCTTTTGTCAGCAGTTGACAAGTTTATTTAATAAATCGATTTGTGATGGTTAGTTTCCGGACAGTTTCAAAGTAAGTAAAGTAATACCAATTTACAAAAACAATGATGTAAATCAACCAGGAAATTACCGTCCTATCTCGATAATTCCAATATTTGGAAAGATTTTTGAAATTATTTTAAAAAAACGCATAAACATGTTTCTTGACAAAATGAATACTATCCACAAATGTCAACATAGCTTTAGAAAGAGCTGTAGTACTATTAATGCTATAAGAAGCATCGTGGAAGGGATAGTAGATGGTTTTGAGGGGGGTAAATCAACCCTGATAATAATGTGCGATCTCTCGAAAGCATTTGACTGTGTTTCCCACGATCTGCTAAAATCCAAACTTGATTTTTATGGAATAAGAGGTACACCACTCAATCTATTTAAGTTGTATCTTAAAGATCAGCACGGAGTTCTGCAAGGATCTGTGTTAGGTTCACTACTTTTTATCACTTACGTGAATGACATATTTTACTGTCTTCAGCCTAATGCCTGCTTTCTCTTTGCAGACGATACTACACTTTTGAATTCTCACAGAGATATCGACACTCTTAAAAATGTCAGTAAAATGGCAGTCGCTAAGGCTGGGGAATGGTTTACTACAAGCAAATTAAAACTTAATAAGGAAAAAACCAAATCTTTAATATTTAGTACTAACCTGGAACATGGTAACGCAAATTGTGCCACTCTTCTGGGAATAACACTCGACAGCGGTCTAAAGTGGGACACCCACATTGAAAAGTTAGCAAAAAACTAAGTTCTCAAATATTCCTACTTAGAAATTAAAAAAAAAAGTATAAACGTGGACACTGTTTTGATGCCTTACCACTCCCTATTTCACAGTTATCTTACTTATGGTATAATACTATGGGGAAACGCATCGAATGCCATACGAATCTTTTGGCTTCAAAAGAGAGTCAGACGAATCCTAACTGTGAGCCATTTTAGACTCTTGTCGATTATTATTTCAGACTCTAAATATTTTACCATTGCCCTGTATATACATTATGCACACTGTCTTGGAAAGATACTATACTCTTAAATTCTGATTACAACTATCCCACCAGGGGAGGTGATTTAATTAGAACGACACGTTTTCGATTGGAATTATCGAAAAAGAACTCATTAGATGTTCAACTGTATAATAAAATTCCAGTAAAATTTTTTTTTTGTTTTTAAACGTAATGTTAAAAGTTATTTACATTTGCACTGTTTTTACGATAGTCAATGGCGTTACTAGACTGATCTGCGTTTTAATAATTAAATTCAAATCAATGTATTATTCTGTTTGTCTAAAATTTTTCTGTTATATACATTTATATCGTATGTTACTTTTATTATTTATTTATTTATTTATTTATTTATTTAGAATTTCTAAATTGTATTAGACTTGCTACACATGTTTTTCATAAAGTAGTCAATAAAAAATTCTTCTTCTTCTTCTTCTTCTTCTTCTTCTTCTTCTTCTTCTTCTTCTTCTTCTTCTTCTTCTTCTTCTTCTTCTTCTTCTTCTTCTTCTTCTTCTTCTTCTTCTTCTTCTTCTTCTTCTTCTTCTTCTTCTTCTTCTTCTTCTTCTTCTTCTTCTTCTTCTTCTTCTTCTTCTTCTTCTTCTTCTTCTTCTTCTTCTTCTTCTTCTTTGAAAAAAATTACACTGATTATAAATTCAATACAGATCCGTACCAATAAAATTTCGAATACGGTCCATATTACCCAAAAACCGTCATTGAATGCCATTGTGTAATACACCGCTGGATGCAGGATGAAAAGTTATGAAAAGTTATTTGAAATAATGTTATAACATATCCAGGTTCATATTTTAAAAAAATAAGTTGAGGGTGGAAAATACGAAACTTTGGATGCAAAATATGAAAACGTCAAATCAATAAAAATTTATTATCAAATAAAAAAAAAAACTTTAAAAAATATTTTTTAGTAGTCCTGAAAATATATAACGATAACAAAAAAAAATCGAAAAGATCGAATTTCCTTTTATCGAAATATCTCAAGAACCGGGCCTGTTATTTTCGATTAATTTATTAATTTTTCTCCATTTAACCGACTTTCTAACTAGTATGGTTTGGAAATTACTAATACAATCCCATTAAAAAAGTGGCCACCCTGTATATCATTCACCCTGTCAAAGCCCTAAGGCAGCCATTTGGACAGGTCGTGTGAAGGCCTAATTAAAAGATGGTAAATAAGAGTCCTCCGAATTCCCGCCATCTTTGTGTTAGGCCACAATCACCGAACAATCCTCGTAACTAGTCATTTAAATTTTAATTTTTTTTTTTTTTTTTTCAGGTGTTGGGTGTCCTCTTGGTCATCTTATCCTCTGTAGATAATTCCGAAGATATAAAGCCTCAACGACATTTCAACAAAGCGATGGCCATGAGGTCCCTGAAGGGGATCTCGATGACAGCGAAACGATGTAAACGGACATACTAGTTGTCGAATAAAGTCAATGTTTATTACTTTATTATACCTATTTGAAAATCGCATTATTTCTTTTATTACTTGTTCCATTTCTGATCCGAAAACGTTTGAATGATCGGATACGGGCCATCGCCCCCACTTAACTGCTAGGGGGGAGCTTCTCTAGCCTCGATATGTGTCATATTTTATTTATTTAAATAGGTGCACTTTATAATTATTATTCTAATTCTGGTACACAATAAAATATTATATAGATATGGAAACATCCTTCAGGTGAAGACATTTCCAACCAAAGTTAATTAAAAAAACATATTACCCCATATACATGTTTCCGGTAGTATAAACTACCATTTTACTAAGAAAAAAAAAACCGTATTTGCTAATTTTTCCTAAATTTATCATAGAAAATTATTTCCCCATATATAGCTTTGCGCCCAAACAAAATATGTTAAACCACGTATTTCTTGAAATATGTTTTCTAGAGTTACGGAGGTCTTTCATAGGACGGCAGAATACGGGTGGTTTCAATTTTTTAAAATGTTTAACAATTTTATCAGTAGATAGACAACGTATGTATGGCCTCACATAGGGAATTCAATGTGTAAGAGTGAGAGGTACATATTCAATGGATAAGAGTGAGACAGACGGTCTGAGGGAAAAACGAGGTAGTGGGGGGAGTGGGGGATTAAATTTCGTTTACCGTCGAATAGAAAAATCATGCGTAGTGGTAAAGCCCGAAGGGCCTTAGCGTATATCTCAGCTATCGTTGGTCCGATTTAAACGGGGAAAAGGGGGTTATGTAGAGAGAGGGATATAGATTGACATCGAAAAGAAAAAATCATGCGCAGTGGCAGGGCAAAAGGACCTTAGCGTGTATCTTCACTGCTATTGGTCCGATTTAAATGGGGAAAAGGGGGTTATGTAGAGAGCGTGATATAGATTAAAGTTGAAAAGAAAAAATCATGCGCAGTGACAGGACAAAAGGACCTTAGCGTATATCTCAGCTATCGTTGGTCCGATTTAAATGGGGAAAAGGGGGTTATGTAGAGAGAGGGATATAGATTGACATCGAAAAGAAAAAATCATGCGCAGTGGCAGGGCAAAAGGACCTTAGCGTGTATCTTCACTGCTATTGGTCCGATTTAAATGGGGAAAAGGGGGTTATGTAGAGAGCGTGATATAGATTAAAGTTGAAAAGAAAAAATCATGCGCAGTGACAGGACAAAAGGACCTTAGCGTATATCTCAGCTATCGTTGGTCCGATTTAAATGGGGAAAAGGGGGTTATGTAGAGAGAGGGATATAGATTGACATCGAAAAGAAAAAATCATGCGCAGTGGCAGGGCAAAAGGACCTTAGCGTGTATCTTCACTGCTATTGGTCCGATTTAAATGGGGAAAAGGGGGTTATGTAGAGAGCGTGATATAGATTAAAGTTGAAAAGAAAAAATCATGCGCAGTGACAGGACAAAAGGACCTTAGCGTATATCTCAGCTATCGTTGGTCCGATTTAAATGGGGAAAAGGGGGTTATGTAGAGAGAGGGATATAGATTGACATCGAAAAGAAAAAATCATGCGCAGTGGCAGGGCAAAAGGACCTTAGCGTGTATCTTCACTGCTATTGGTCCGATTTAAATGGGGAAAAGGGGGTTATGTAGAGAGCGTGATATAGATTAAAGTTGAAAAGAAAAAATCATGCGCAGTGACAGGACAAAAGGACCTTAGCGTATATCTCAGCTATCGTTGGTCCGATTTAAATGGGGAAAAGGGGGTTATGTAGAGAGAGGGATATAGATTGACATCGAAAAGAAAAAATCATGCGCAGTGGCAGGGCAAAAGGACCTTAGCGTGTATCTTCACTGCTATTGGTCCGATTTAAATGGGGAAAAGGGGGTTATGTAGAGAGCGTGATATAGATTAAAGTTGAAAAGAAAAAATCATGCGCAGTGACAGGACAAAAGGACCTTAGCGTATATCTCAGCTATCGTTGGTCCGATTTAAATGGGGAAAAGGGGGTTATGTAGAGAGAGGGATATAGATTGACATCGAAAAGAAAAAATCATGCGCAGTGGCAGGGCAAAAGGACCTTAGCGTGTATCTTCACTGCTATTGGTCCGATTTAAATGGGGAAAAGGGGGTTATGTAGAGAGCGTGATATAGATTAAAGTTGAAAAGAAAAAATCATGCGCAGTGACAGGACAAAAGGACCTTAGCGTATATCTCAGCTATCGTTGGTCCGATTTAAATGGGGAAAAGGGGGTTATGTAGAGAGCGTGATATAGATTAAAGTTGAAAAGAAAAAATCATGCGTAGTGACAGGACAAAAGGGCCTTAGCGTATATCTTCACTGCTATTGGTCCGATTTAAATGGGGAAATGGGGGTATGTAGAGAACACCGGAAAGTTTGAAGTTTGACGACTGACGTTTGTCGTTTGACGTTTTACGGTTAACGTTTGACGTTTAACGTTTCTGCTAGTATCGAGAGTACAATAACTACTACTACAGCTGGGTTGGCCGAGCGTCAACAGCCCAGATCTCCGAGAGGAGGCGTATCCTACACCAGGCAATATTTTTTAAAGTAAAATAAGTATAGTATTCAGTATTGAGATGTCTAGCGAAGAGAATAGACGTAGAATTGAAGAGTTTGGTATAAAAGTTCAAAAACTAAGAAGAGACATAAAATTATATGAAGATAAAAAACAAGTTTTAAGAGATTTGACAAATTTAAGTCTTTGAGAGATATCATCCTAATCAGTATCCACTTAGAAGAATCCAACCGACGCAAATATGGCCATCTTAAAGGCTAATTTCATTATACTTACGGCTATATTAAACAACGTACTGTATACCAATGTACCGTTGGGCGTACAACAGATGACGATACGTTTTGATAATCAAACGGAATGGCGAAAGATGAATTTCTCGGTGGTAAATAATATGAAGCTAAATACGTTTTCCATAGGATCTTGGACACCAATGCTTTTTAAATGGAAAACGTGTAGTTTACTCTGGACAGTAGAGTGCAGGTGTGGACATTTAAGTAAAGACTGGACAAATATTGCTAATAATTTAAATGGGGGAAAGTTATTTGTAATAGGGTAAAGTCAATATTGGACAATGAAAATAAAATAAAATATATTTTGTTTTAAAATTATATTTTTAAATGAACAGTATTAAGTATTTACAGTAACTCAATGAGTTTTAAAATTGTCTCTCTTTGAAGCTCAGCTTTTTTATTTAGCCCCATTTTTAGTAAACTTGTAATAAGTTTCTTTTTCTTAATTTGTTTTTCTTTGTAATTATTCCTAATTTCAATACCCCGTTCTGTTTTGTAAAATTGTCTCCGTTTCTCGTTAGCTTCTTCCCTCCGCCTTATTCCTTCGGCACCTCTATCACATCTACATGTGGATTTATCATGAAGTTCGTGTTCGGATGTGTAGTTTTACACCTTCAGGTGCTAATTCTGAAATTTCTGTGCGTACTAAACCACACTGTTTTCCTCGAGAATGTAACCAATCTTGTTTAAATACTCTTCTATCGTAATGAGAATGAGGTGTACCCCTAAGACCATCTCCATCCCTTCTAAGTGGCTTTTGTCCATCAGCACAGGTGATGTATCTGAGGACACCAACAGCATGGTCCAAGCAAATTATTTTCCTAAAAGTTGTTTTTGAATGGAGTCGTGTACCAGTGCGCTGTAGTTTTTTCTTGTAGGCCAACATTGTAAATCCATTAGTAAAATGTATTAAAGCGTGAAGATGTTCATGTGCTGTACTACCATCGTCTGCTATTAGATGACATCGACAAATAGAATACCATTTAATATTTGGAGCACAAGCAAGTAAATTAAAGTCCTTTTCATTTAATATTAAATGATACCATTCTTTGGACAATTCTTCGTAATCTTGTGCCATTTCCTGTGGCGACAAAGCGTTAATTTCATTTAGATTCAAGAGAGTCAAATAATCAGTTTTTGACAGTGAAGACATTTTTTTTTTGTTATTTTTAGAGAAACTACTCGTAGAAAATGTCTCAATAGACTGGAAGAGTCTTTAATGTCTCAATACCTTAAACAAATAATTCATTACCCCCACCACCAAGATTTTTGCGCACGCGCAGTAGTACAAACGAACGTGATGTAAGCGTCGTTGCGACATGCGTTCACGTGAACGAAGGTTAGGTTAGGAGGGCATACGAGAAGTTCTCCATGCTTCATCGTTTTCTTATTTTTCATCTTTTCTCGGTAAATTGCTTTAGAACTTCTCGTATGCCCTCCTAACCTAACCTTCGTTCACGTGAACGCATGTCGCAACGACGCTTACATCACGTTCGTTTGTACTACTGCGCGTGCGCAAAAATCTTGGTGGTGGGGGGTAATGAATTATTTGTTTAAGGTATTGAGACATTAAAGACTCTTCCAGTCTATTGAGACATTTTCTACGAGTAGTTTCTCTAAAAATAACAAAAAAATGTCTTCACTGTCAAAAACTGATTATTTGACTCTCTTGAATCTAAATGAAATTAACGCTTTGTCGCCACAGGAAATGGCACAAGATTACGAAGAATTGTCCAAAGAATGGTATCATTTAATATTAAATGAAAAGGACTTTAATTTACTTGCTTGTGCTCCAAATATTAAATGGTATTCTATTTGTCGATGTCATCTAATAGCAGACGATGGTAGTACAGCACATGAACATCTTCACGCTTTAATACATTTTACTAATGGATTTACAATGTTGGCCTACAAGAAAAAACTACAGCGCACTGGTACACGACTCCATTCAAAAACAACTTTTAGGAAAATAATTTGCTTGGACCATGCTGTTGGTGTCCTCAGATACATCACCTGTGCTGATGGACAAAAGCCACTTAGAAGGGATGGAGATGGTCTTAGGGGTACACCTCATTCTCATTACGATAGAAGAGTATTTAAACAAGATTGGTTACATTCTCGAGGAAAACAGTGTGGTTTAGTACGCACAGAAATTTCAGAATTAGCATCTGAAGGTGTAAAAGACTTAGAAAACTACACATCCGAACACGAACTTCATGATAAATCCACA